GATACAAGTTTCTCTTCCACTTCTACTTTATACGGTTGTTGGGTGTCTACCTGAAATTCATTTATGTATAGTCTACAAATCTCTGACTAAGTAGAAATATGTGAAAATGATGTATATATTAAGAAATCTTTATACTAGACAATAATATATACATAAGAGTACCAACTCCTGGACAATATCACATGAAAAAGACAATAAAATGCAATAATCAAGAAAAATAATCTTAGAGCTTGAGGGACAAGTCAAGCTTATGCTGCTCTTCTTGATTACTGCTAAATAATCTTTCTTCTCCTCGCCATTGTTCAAGAATCGGTGACCCTACTAGAATCCTTCCTATGTTGCTCGATGATTTACCGATATTTGTTGATGGTGAAGTTACTGAAGGAGCCATACTCATCATCATCTGATGTTGARGTTGATGTTGATGAAGATGAAAATTTTCCATTGAAGAAAGTTTACCTATAGCTGGTTGTTGATCAAATGGAAGTCTACTTGACCAGTTGATCTGACCATAGTGACCACCAAACCCGTTATAAGAAGAACTTAGCTTGTGGCTCGTCGAGTGTGCTTGAATCCCTAAAGACCTGTTGTTGTATTGTCCATGGAAGGAAACCGGAGAGAACCCGTAAGGATGTCCAAAAGCTGATGAGGCTGATGCTAACATTCGTTGTCCTCTCTTAGCCAACGTCCTCTCTCTCTTGTGTGCGTTTTGGTGACCTCCAAGAGCTTGTGAGCTATAGAAAGTTCTTTGGCAGTAGTTGCATGAGAAAAGCTTTTGTTCTGTAGATGTAGAAGATCCATCACAACTCTGACTAACAACGATAGTACTCGAGTCTATGCAATCGATGAGATTGAGTTCTTGATTGAGCTGTTCTTGACTAGAATCATGATCGTCTACGAAACTTTGTTCAAGGCTCTGGTTTAGAGAACCTTGACGTGGGGAAACTATGCAAGAGGGATCTGAAGGTAGTAGTTGCTTGTCCCTCGAAACGTCCATGAAGGCTACAAAGGGAACAAGATTTTACCAGGTGATGATT